GTGGTGGGATGGAGGTGGTGGAGGTGGAGGTGGGATGGAGGTGGGATGGAGGTGAAGGTGGTGGAGGTGGTGGAGATGTGGTGGTGGAGACGGTGGGGGTCAAGATGGTGGAGGTGGAGATGGGATGGAGGTGAAAGTGGTGGAGGGATGGAGGTGATGAAGGTGATGGAGATGGTGGAAGTGGTTGAGATGTGGTGGAGTTGGGATGGAGGTGGTGGAGATGGTGGAGATGGTGGAAGTGGGGTCGGGATGGAGGTGAAGGTGATGGAGGTGGTCGGGGTGGAGATGGTGGGGGTGGAGTGAGGGGGTGGAGATGGTGGTGGTGGAGATGGAGTTGAAGTTGGGATGGAGGTGAGGGTGGTGGAGATGGTGGAGGGATGGAGGTGATGAAGGTGATGGAGATGGTGGAGGTGGTGGAGATGTGGTGGAGTTGGGATGGAGGTGGTGGAGATGGTGGAGATGGTGGAAGTGGGGTTGGGATGGAAGTGAAGGTGATGGAGGTGGTGGGGGTGGAGATGGTGGGGGTGGAGTTGAGGTGAAGGTGGTGGGATGGAGGTGGTGGAGATGGTGGTGGTGGAGATGGAGTTGAAGTTGGGATGGAGGTGAGGGTGGTGGAGATGGTGGAGGGATGGAGGTGATGAAGGTGATGGAGATGGTGGAGGTGGTGGAGATGTGGTGGTGCAGTTGGGATGGAGGTTGAGGTGGTGGAGATGGTGGAGGTGATTCAGATGGTGGAAGTGGGGTTGGGATGGAGGTGAAGGTGGTGGAGGTGGTGGGGGTGGAGATGGGTGGAGTTGGGATGGAGGTGGAGGTGGTGGAGATGGAGGTGGGATGGAGGTGGTGGAGGTGATGGAGGTGGGATGGAGGTGGTGGAGGTGGTGGGGGTGGAGTTGGAATGGAGGTGAAGGTGGTAGAGATGGTGGAGGGATGGATGCGGTGGATATGGAGTCGGGATGGAGGTGAAGGTGGTGGAGATGGTGGAAGTGGGGTTGGGATGGAGGTGAAGGTGGTAGAGATGGTGGAGGGATGGATGCGGTGGATATGGAGTCGGGATGGAGGTGAAGGTGGTGGAGATGGTGGAAGTGGGCTTGGGATGGAGGTGAAGGTGGTGGAGATGGAGATGGTGGAAGGATGGAGGTGAAGGTGGTGGAGATGGTGGAAGTGGGGTTGGGATGGAGGTGAAGGTGGTAGAGATGGTGGAGGAATGGAGGTGAAGGTGGTGGAGATGGAGATGGTGGAAGGATGGAGGTGAAGGTGGTGGGGGTGGAGATGGTGGAAGGATGGAGGTGAAGGTGGTGGAGGTGGTGGAGATGGTGGAGGGATGAAGATGGAGATGGTGGAAGGATGGAGCTGAAGGTGGTGGAGATGGTGGAGGGATGGAGGTGAAGGTGGTGGAGATGGAGATGGTGGAAGGATGGAGCTGAAGGTGGTGGAGATGGTGGAGGGATGGAGGTGAAGGTGGTGGAGATGGTGGAGGTGGTGGAGATGTGGTGGAGTTGGGATGGAGGTGAGGGTGGTGGAGATGGTGGATGGAGGTGATGGAGATGGTGGAGGTGGTGGAGATGTTGGAGTTGGGATGGAGGTTGAGGTGGTGGAGATGGAGGTGTGATCAGGTGGTGGAGGTGATGGAGACGGGATGGAGGTGGTGGAGATGGTGGTGGGATGGCAGTGGTGGATGTGGGGTGAAGGTCGTGGAGGTGGGGGTGGAGATGGAGGTGGGATGGAGGTGATGGTGGTGGGGTGGGATCTGGAGGTGGAAAAAGGGGGGAGGTCAGT